AAAAGAGGAGATACACAACGTGTCTCCTCTAGAACTCTTCAGTTTACAGAGAAATTCCACCAGAGCCCCACAACATTGTCCAATAATAACTCTTCTTGTGTCTGTTCCAGGGAGTAACCCTGTTACAAAAGGGAACAGCGCATCAGTCCTTGACTATGGTTAAACCGTATATATGATGTCTGGTGGAGTTTCAGCATTTACTATTCTATAATATGTACAGAACCATGACATCTCATCAATGTTTGGTACCAATACACAGTGAGGCTTAACAGACTTCCTTTGAACTCAACTGCGCTCCAGTAAATGTACAGCTAATCACCTCCTGCAATGCTCCTAGTTTAGGAGGATTTGCGCGATAAGCACAATGTTTAAGGGGTATGACATTACCCACGTCTCTGTCAGTGTACGACACAGGTTTGACTTGCAGTGTCTGTTACATAACTACTGCATGATTTCTTTCTGTTTCAGCTAAATGAATTAAATCGGTCAGAATCTACTATTGGTCAGAAAGTGCCAATGGTAAAAATAACCCTTCTTCCCTCCTTTATTTAACTTAAGGAATTTCACTAAGAAATCCTTAATCGCAAAACCATCACTTAATTTATCCAGATAAATTTAAACAAGCTATACTAGTAGGCTATTTTTATGTATTCACCATATAAGAAACCAACTGAAAGTGATACTCTGATCACGCTTTAAACCATTGGGTGCAGTGCTTTGTCTATTACCACTACAAGGACAAAAGTTTTTTAAAAAATGTCAAAATGTTTCTGAAATGTCCACCTGTGATATTTTAGCTGCTTAGTTACACAATTCCATATTCATATAACTGTCAGGTGATGTTAAATCACTACATTTATCTTTACAATAACAGCAAGTGTTCTTAAAACGCATTCTTAGAAAAGGATAAAACTTTTTAAGAAGTACACAATATAGGCTTAATGTTAAAACCAGAACCCACTGTAAGTCACCAAGTTAGACTTTGATGCATAAAATATGCATAATTAACTTATGATGAAGGTGGAAGGTTGTGTACTTTTGTCCAACTGAGCAATCTTGCTTTTATAAAATAGACTTTTTTGTTTAAAATGCTTTAATACACAGTTTAAAATTATTTTAAAAGTCTAAACAGTATACAACTTATTTTCTTAATTGGAAAAAGATTGTCCCTCAGCAGTGACCGGGATTCAAAACTGAGCATTTTCTGGCGACGACTCAAATGCTGTATATAAGATGTTAAACTGTCTCCACCTGGCAGTTTTACAAGGTACTATTATCCTATTTAAAAAAACATGCAATATGTTGCACAAGGTCCACCAGGGTTTAACGCAGTGTATCTCGCTCATTTTCAATGGCTGGATTTGTATGTTGTAGAACATGAGTTGTGTGGGGAGACATTTGGGAATGTCAATTAACCTAGATTAGACTTCAGCTTTAAGTTTATGCACAGTTATGCATAGGCTAGAATACAGTTGAATCGCAGTTTACATGGGTTCATACTGCTAAATTACTGTTAGTAATTAAAATTACTGTTCAGTTTAGGTATTTATGCCATGTACCTGCATATAACCATATAAAGCAGAAAACCATCAACTAGAATAGGTGGATACATGTGACTTGGTCTTGGATTCAACCTTTCTTTGATTAAAGAAAAAACACTTATATAGTGCATGTTTGTATCTGCTAAAATGCAACTTATAGTAAATGACCATCAAAGCAATTGAAATTACAACTCAATGTTTTTAATCTATTTATATTTGCTTTTAAATATGATGTGCTTTTAAAGCCACTATGTATAAATTTTTAATAAAAAATAACATTTTAAAATTGCTAGTTATACAGAATTAGACACAAGTCTGTGTACTGTAAGGAATTAAATTATACTGTACTTCAGTTAGTGTTTTGTTATATACCTTACAACTAAAAATACAGTACTGTACAGTGTTAATTTTTACACGACTGGGAAAAACCTGAAATGGTAGAGTGTGGACATTAACTATACAGACTTCTAAATTTTCTTAAAATAGTCTATTTTTGTACATTTCTGTACTGTTTGCTTAAAAACAAAACTCCTTTGAGGAGAGGAATCAACACATTTTCTATATTACGGCAATTCCCCCTTTACCCTTGCAGGAGGATGTTTCACAAAGATTACTTAGTTATCTGGATAACTTTAGTAAACATGTTGACAAAAGTCTGGATTTTTGGTTTCACAGAGCAATTGTATCTGGTTGAGTAACTATAACAGCATATCCTCTTTTCTTAACCTTATCTGGGGCAGGTCAAACTTAGCTTGACTTGATGAGTTGAGCTCGTACTGTAACTATAAACCAATCAATCCTCCACAAAAAGAAAATCCCTTTTCTTCAGGGATCGTGCTGACATTTGAGCTTTGCAGAGAGAATGAAAATTTAGGGATTGCCAAAATCCTTTACAATTCACTGATACATTTTCAAAGATTCTGCTTGGCAAATGGGGTCTATATTTACATTCATGATCTCTTAAGCCCGTACATTGCTAATACTGCTTGTCATAGCTCAGCATTAGAAACTGCTCAAAGGGCTGAGATTCCTTGTGACTGGTGCAGTTGTATACTGTGTTGGTGAGTTGGAGTGCTTCAGTGGAGACCATTTGTCGTGCAATGAGGAAAGTGGTGTTTGCACTAAAACTGTTTTTGCATGCAGTCTGAGCCATACATTACCATCAAACAGGGTAATATCTAGAAATATTCTCATATACAATTTCATCCACTGTAAATGTAGCTGTGGACCATTTAAAAACTGATTGTAGACTTTCCTAATAAATCTCTGTACTACACAGCTAACTTCATTAAAGCCCCCAAAGGGCCAAATGAGACTAATTATTTTAACAGAAAATCAATTCACAGCACTATTGTATAGTTAAAATTCTAGCCTAAAAAAACAAAGGTGCTGATTACACAAAATACCATTAAATATAAATTTTTTAATGAAATTTAAACCTTGTACGTGTTTATGGGAAATGTAGTTAAAACAAGCACATCAGAACTTTCCCAAAATAACCACAGCAAGTGATCAAGTTAAAGAATTTGATACAGAAAATCTTTATTAAGAAGGTGGAATACCTTCAATACATCAGCTTTATAAATATCTGAATACATTTTTGAATGTTGGTATACTTGGGTTATTTTTATGTTCAGGTACTGAAAGTATATTTTAGTTACATGATTCCGAATTAACATTCCTTATTAAGTGGTACGTTAGATTAAATGAAGTTAATCTTGTAAGTGCCACCAACAGTATGGATCTTTGGGCATACCAAGACACATCGCAGTATACTGCACTTTACTTACCGCTAATGCAAGTTTTGATGTGTGTTTTTGATGGCTGCATTTATACATACAAACTGTTCTTTAAGGCAAAATGTACCCCATATATAAGTATTATACCTTGAATTTTCTACTGTTAAGACTAATAGAGTAATTTACCCAAATGCGTAAGTAAACATTGGTAAGAAAATGTTTTTTGAGGCACAAGAGCTACGTAGACAGCAATTTGTTATAGGACTGAAAAGGAAAAAAAGGATTATAATAGAAATGTCGAGGTAAATTACATCAAATGAGCCTAAATTAGCTTCCATTCCATTGCTAAGATGGGGAAAAAACAAAATATGTAGTGTTCTCTACAAATGTGGATAGAAAGGGGACCTATTAAAATAGCACATTCAGAGTCGATTCTCCTTTAATCTACGGTCAATTCTTAGTTGTTTTTTTATTACTGTCCTTGAGAGGGTGTTCATTAATGGGCAGTCTCATTGTGTCCTTTTATTAGACAGAAATTTGGTAGAACACTGACTTCTATTAATTAGCTTTCACCTTGTGATTTACTTTGATTTTTTAAAAAACTCTTTAATATAATAACCATACTTTTGATAGCTCCATAATCTGTTATTTTTTGGTGGATTAACTGAACTGAAAACATGCTGGTGATGTAACTGCTGTCTGAAACTGATGGCCTAACCATTTTGTCCCATAGTGGTGAGGTTTTATTGATTTCATTGTGTGCTACTGCAGTATTGTTCTGGTCACTGAATTACATTTAAAGCCAATCTTTTGTGGGATTATTGTGGGATTTCTGCTCTTTAGACATCATAACAGACAGCATTAGTAAATGTTTTTCCAAAATGTGAACATTGCAATTTCTGTTTTAGGGTTTCTCACATTTAGTTCAAACTGCGTATATGCCACATGCTTTTTGTCTTTTTCATTGTACTTGGCAGTTGGGACCAGTTCCCATTATCACCTAGCCTTGTGCTGAAATGAGTAATTTCAACATGGATTACCAGAACAAATTAAATAAAATATCAAAGCTATTTTAACACCGTAATCTTGAACCATTAATTTTAAACTGATTTTGTGCCGAAAGAGTAAACACAGTTGGAGATATGAATGTGGCTTAGTGCCTTTTGTCTCCCTAAACAGCTTTGCACCTGTGCCATTGTTTCTCTGGCATTTTACCTTCACAAAGAATTTCAACTTTAGAGTTGAAGTGAAAAGGAAATCATAATACTTAAACTTGACATTCCAGATTTCTGGCAAGCAGGTGCATTTGTCTGCTTAGCATTCAGATACCCAGTTGACAACTCATTAGATTATTTTAATGGCAAATTACAACCTGAACTGTGTGTCATTTTTTTAACTGGAAATTGCAGAAGAAAATTATACATTTTGTAAAGGCAAGAACATTAAGAATATAGTTCCATGGAAACTTTTTTTTGACGTATTGCCTGTTAGTCCTTTATGCATTGCCATTCTTTAGTACCAAAGAAATGTTCTGTATATGTAAAAAAAAAAAAAAAAAAACAGCAGCCTCCTCAGCAGAATAACCCCCGTCAAGAATGTAGAAAGCCTAACTTTAAGAAAATACATTACATGTAAAAGCTTTTTTTAATTAAAAAAGCCATATAATTTACGGTTATTAATGTGATTGTGTAAAGTTTTTCTTTCTACAAAATTTTTTCAGGAGCTGCTGAAAGACCCATTGTATATTGGATTACGACACAAAAGAGTACAAGACCAGGCTTATGATGACCTTTTGGATGAGTTTATGCAAGCTGTGACAGACAGGTATGCAAGAACAGAAAACATTGAGAGCTGCATCAGTCAATTCATTCCAACACTTAAGATTTAATGTTAGGCATGTTATTCAGAATGTACATTTTAATTAAATGAAACAATCAGCTGAGTTCGTGAAAGTCATAATGTAAGAACTTAATTGAATTACTCTGTCACATTCAATGCAGGGTAGAAATTGGCTTTTATAATTACATCTGTGAACTAAAGCTTTTGTATTCCCAAATGTGATTACAGTATGTGAGAAAAAACAAATTTTCAATAGATACTGTCTATGGCTGTTTGTAATTTTTAATCATACTACATCACATCAAAACATCTTACCTATAGGTTACTGCTATATTTGATTTAATTGTTCTAGTGTTTTGACAAATGTTTAAAATATCTAGAAATGTTTAGAAAAGGTGTGAAATGAAACGTCCAATGAATGGAGAAAATTTAAAAGAATAGTTGCTCGTTAAGAGAAGGGAGAATGTGTGATCCTAACTGCAGAATAATTTTAGTTTCGGAGGTCTTTCTGATGTATGAGTTCGGAAAACCGTCTTTGAGAACACAGACGGAGAGATTAAAGTGGTCGTGGCCGTCAGAGGTGAAATGAGAAACAATGGGCTTGGAGAGAGCTTTATTCTTCACAGCCCTGATGTGTTCTCTGAAGCGGTCTCCTTCCCGTTTCTCCAATGTAGATGGCTGGGCATTTACTGCAAGAGATGCAGTAAATAAGGTTGCTGGAGGTACAAGATGCTGTCTGGGTGATGCGGAATTGTCATTAAAGGAGGGGCCTTGAATGAGTGTGGTGTTGGATGTATACTTGCAGGTGAAACAGCTAGCTCTGTTGCAAGGGAAAGTGCCTGGTGTGGATGGTTGCTGAGGGCAGTCAAGGGAGCTGTTAACAAGAAGGTTGCACAGATTAGGTGCTAAGCGATATGAGATGATGGGGCGGTCAGAAAAGAGGGCCCCAATGGAGGGATCATCCTCTAGGATGGAAAAGTTGTCGTTAATAGTCCTGGGAATAGGAAGTATGTTAGGGTGGTAGGGAAGCACCAAAGGAATGCGGTTGTTACGGCGGGAGTTCCTGATTGGGTTGATGGTCTGAGGGGTGTTTTTGGCTCAGGCAAGGGCTCTGTCAATAATACTGCTGGGGTATCCTCTGTTGATGGAAAAAGGAGTACATTTTGAGGGCTTGGTTCTGGAAGTCGATGTCGTCGCTGCATAATTGTCGTAGCCGAAGGAACTGTGAAAAAGGGAGTTTTTAGTGTGTTTGGGGTGAAATGAGCTATACAAGAGATAGCTGTGTGAATCCGTGGGTTTGTAATAAACCGAAGTGGAGAGTCGGGGGTAGTTGATGGAGAAGTTGATGTCTAGAAACGGAAGAGCAGTGGAAGGTATTTTAACCGTATATTTGAGGGACGGGTGGAAGTTGGTGAAATGGTGCAAGCTGATCGTTGGAACATGTGGCGGCACTGACGCAGTCATCAATATCGCTTGTAGAGGTCAGGGACATAGCCAGTGTAGGAAGCAAAGAGGCGTTCTACCCAGCCGACAAAAATATTGGCATAGCTGGGTCTCATTCTGGTGCCCATGGCAACTCCACTCACCTGTTGGTAAAAAAGATTATTGAAAGAGAATGCGTTCAGTGTGAGGACCAATTCTGCAAGGCGTACCAGGGTGTGGGTGGGTGGATCAAGCACTGCGTTTGTCCAGCGTGTGCTTGAGGCCTGTAATATTACAGTACTATTAATGGTTATCTACAGTATGTCATCCTTTATTTAGCCAGATAAGACATATTGAACACATTCTCTTTAACAGTGTTGACCAGGCAAGTAGACTTAAATCATTGCTGCGCAGAAGACTAAATGGTTAAAGAACAATCAATACATTTCTTAACACAAAAAAAATACCAAATACTGTCCTTACCTGTAGGACTGTAGTCCTAATGTAGTTTGGTACCCTGCAGTAAATTTAACTGTCTTTTCCCAATTAAATATCTGTAAGTAAAAAAAGTGAGGTATTTGTTCAGAATTCACAAATGTGAAACAAAGAATAAAGATTACAGTGATGAGTGTGGTAGGGAGCATCTATGTGGAGTCTTGCAGCAGAATTATGTGAAGATCTCAGGTTTCTCAGTAGCAGTTCCAGAAACTGTTGCTGTAGTCCAAAATGGGAACTATAGGCATTGGGACTAGTGCAAACCTCCAGAAACCATCTAAAACAAGATTAGTTGCAATAAATGAAACCAAATCTGATATAAATTTAGAATGTAGTCATACCGGTTTTGTATAGCACAGGGGTGAAGATATGTCAAATGGATAATATAAATGGAGAAATTTGTAGAGCCCAGGACATAACCTTATCTTAAAGTTTCAAAAGAAATGTCTTTTAAAGTAATTCAGTACTGCAGATTTTTCAGAAATAGTGAATCCACAGTATGAATGCCCTAGATAACATCAATGAAGGAAGCCACAAGTGTGTTTTTGATGAAACCTTTATGATATTATGAGAGCTTTCAAAGATGTAACTCATCCAGGCATAGAGCAATAAAAGACTGTATCAGATATAATATAAATGGTTGCTGTCTAAAGAAGCTTTATTTCTTTTTTTTCCATGATCTCCAAAGAGTTTTTCCATGATCTTGAGCAAGGAGTGAATACAGTATGTCTATAACCATTAGGTCTGACTTATTACTCCCCTTAAACGAGGGCAGAGTTCCAGTCTGCTAGGACCTCAGCTATTTTAAAATATTGAACAAGTAGGTCTGTAGAGAGGATATTAAATGAGCAGGAAGTTTTTTTTTTAACTTGACCTGAAAACTTGTTACTGTTTTTACAATGCTCAGTTTGTGTTTTTAATTCAGTAACTGTCTGCATCACAGACTGGGGGGATTCTAACCACATTGAACTCAAGTGAATAAGCCCTGCTATTAAGTTACAATCTATCACAGGCAGAACTGGCAATAATAAAATCCATTGGAGGGATTAGACATTCATTTTCTAAATATAGTGAAATATTGTGAATATGGTGGATGACAACATTCATTATTGAAGTCGGAATGGCAGGAGAGGGTGATCTACAGCAACCTATGACTGTCGGTGCTTATTTTTGGGAAATTTCCATTTCCAATTGAATTTACTTGGATGTTTGTTTAGATAAAACACAAATACTGAGACTACTGTAAATGGTCTTTAAAATAAATGGCAACCTCACTTTTATACGTAATATTATACATATATTTTACACATACCACTTTTTTTAACAAAGACTCCAAAATTAGCACATCTGAGGAAGAGCTGTCCATTTGAAACAAAGTCCATACTTTGTTTCAAATTTTGTGTATTGAAAATTAATTAAACCTAAACTTTCAAAATTATAGAAATTGTTAGAATATTGACCAGATTAAACTTTACAACTTGAGTTAGGTATTTGTGATCATTCCAGAATTTGATTCTATTACGGTATACAGTTGCATTGCCAGACAACTGTAAGAATAAAATAATCACGCATCATGAAAGAGCTGCACTGAAAGCACTGGTAGAATTTCTGGTGTTGCAGACAGGATAAACATTAAGGGTTTGGGGGGAAAGGCAACTTTTCACCCAATGTCAGCCGAATGTGAGCCAGTATTACATTTTGATTGATATTGCAAATTCTTTTTTTTTCCCAATGAACTGTTTTTATTCAAAACTTTAATGATCAGACTAACTGCTTACTTTATGTGAAGGAAGCTTAATGGTAGCTGCAAATCTGCAAAGGCCATGCACAAAGTGAAATTTTCATTATTCAAGTATTCAACTGCACCTTCTTGCGGCATGTAATTGGTTTTAGGTCTCCAACAGCTTTCCACAGCAAGACAGTGTAATTCTGTCCATTCTTCCTAAAATGTTTGTTGGGAATAGTGGATGACCAGCAATTTTCAAGCCTTGCCAGAACTATTCAGCTTAATTCAAGTCAGGACTTGGTCACTCAGGGACAGCCACTCTCTTCTTGTGTGGCTTTGGTCTTATGGTGTAGATCATTGTTCTACTGAAATGTGACTTAACAATTTCCGATTCTTGGATTACTAAGATATCATCATCTATTTTTTCCCTTTTTATTCTGAGAATCTTGCTATGAGAATTCTCATAACATACTGACAATTATGCTTGACAGTTGGGAAGATTCTGACTAGGTGATGTGTATGTTGGGCTTGCACAGTATATTGAAGTAAATTTAATTCTATGAGATTTGAGATGTTTTTCAACATTTTTTGTCATTCAGCCTTACCGGCTAGCTTTGTGTAGGGGCTGGGATGTTATTGATGTACAGCATGCACTGTGACTCCAATCTCAGACACAGAACTTTGCAAGTCTTTTTAAGTCACTGTTGGCCTCAGAGGCATCCCTAAGCAGTTACTAGCTTGCTCTTCTGCTGAGTTTCGAAGGGCAGCCTAATCTAGTTAGTGTCTGGGTGCGAGATGTATATTTCACTTAATGATAGAACATTGTGTTCAAAGAGACAAGACGTGTTCTGCTGATCTGTGCCTCCCTACCACTTTATTCCCAATTTCAAACACTCCTTGATCTACATGCTCATTTTGTTGTATCGGTGTGTGCGTTGAAGCTTGAAATTCATTGTCTATGAGAAAGGAATTTAGATATTGATGCATTTACTCTGAAGTGATGCACACTCTGTTAAACTAATTTTGTGACCTTTCAAACGCTTTTACTTGAACTGATTTAAGGTTACCATAGCAAAGAGGTTGGATACTTATGTAATTGAGAAAGTTATTTTCCAGCTTGGAGTAGATTGTGAAGATTCTGAATAGAAGTCCTATTTGAAACAGTCATGTTTGACTCGGGGAAACCTTGTAGGGAGGTGAACACAAGGTGCTGTTTGTGTAATATTTGGTTCTTATTGTGGCAGTTGGCAGCTGTGCAATACAATTGCCTTTTTTGTATCTGTGATAATTCCAGAATTTTATTTTTACTGCTTCACTATTACTTGGTCTATTGTAATGGGAG